TCAGAATATTCCAGTTGCTTAGGCTTCCTGTGTAGACTAGGAACCAGTCAATATTACGTACAGTTGATTACCACTATTCACAGTAGTTAAGTCTATAAAGTTGCTATGAATACTGAATCAGCAAATATTGAAAAATAGCTTCTAACAGAAATACAGAATTATGTTCCTCTTAGTTTCTGGTCACAGTATTGTCATCCACTGATCAATACATAGTAAACTAGTTTATTTACACTTCTATCTAAATACACTTCATTTTACATGTAATGTTGATTTATTAACATTGAACTCATGATCAACAACAAAATAACATATGCCTGAAAGAGACTTATCTTTATCTTTATTATATCCTTCCTGTGCTTAGGAACACTAGACAGAACTACAGCACTACACTTAGGGGGCCATTTTAAACAGTTATATTACCAAAAATAAGCACAAAAAGTTGAAAAAATGGCAATAAATAGACCATGAAAAGTATAATTGTTTACAGTAAAAAAAACTAGAGGTAAAGGCAAATCATGGATTAGTCCCATGGCGTAGTGAGTGGTTAAGGGGGCCATACCACACCTGGCCAACCATGATGTGAACCCCAGCCCTGGCAGCTTGATAATATGCCAGGCATGTGTGTGTGCATGCACAGGATCCTGACAGGATGGAGATGGAGGAGAAGGGATTATGGTGACCATACCCCATTGGGGGAAGGAGCTTTCCCCTCTCCCTCTCTTTCTTCTCTCTGTCTCTCTTTGGCAAGTGTGTGTGCTGTCTAGCAATTAAAAAAAAAAGGCAAATAATCTCCATGTTTGCTCTCAGCTGAAACATGCACATTATGGTCAACTTTTTTTCCAGTATGTGTGCAAGTATGTAAATGACCATCAAAGCACTACATGTATTTATTTGGGAGTTACAAACACATTGTAGTGAGTAAGCCAATTAATAAATATGGAATTCATTAATAATAAAGTCAACTTTTTTCCACTTAAATAATTCTAGAAAACTAGGATACTGGTAGATTAAGTTAATAAAATCATCTCTTTTTCATTTTTAAATACTTTTTTTTTTTTTTTTTTGCCAGAGTTCATGTGTACTGATTTTCTGGAGAAAAATACAAAGAGGAAAAGTGAGAAGAAATGGTCTCACTGCAATCCCCTTTCCTCCATTTTCCTCTCTTTTCTGGATTTTGGGCTAGCATGTACACACCCTGCCAGTTCTGGGACTCAAACTGGTCAGTCTGCAATGTGGGATCCAGGCACCTTAACCACTATGCCAGGGGCCAGCCCAGTGTTCATGTTTACTGTATAATTTCTACATGAGAAATTCCTAATGTGCACATCACAGAATGTATATATATGTATATATACATTTATATATACATTTTTACAGAATATATACATATATATGAACATGCATCTTACAATTTAAATGGCCACAGTCTACATGAGAAAGAGGAAAAATATATTTTATATATATGTGTGTATATATATATATATATATACACATATGTATAGATAGATAGATTTCACAGAAAGTATTCACAAAATTTTCACAGAACATGTATATTTTTTTCTCTCTTTGTCACATAGACTGTGGCCAATTAAATTGCAAGATGGATGTTCCATAATAAGAAATATGAATAGAGCAATTATAAAACTTCAATATTCATTACACTTAAAGCCATAACTTCTTCTATTTTGAAGAAGTAAGCAGAATTTTTGCCCTAACTTAAGCCACACCTAGACATGTCAAAATCTCTTCATTTTTGGAAAACAAATGTTCTCCAGAAAATACATTGATTATTAATTTTTTAAATCTTCCTCATTCTCATTTTGCTTTTATTAGTTTTCAATCCCTTTCTCATTTCATTATTTTTCCTCTTCTGATTCTCTATCTTTGCCTGTCTTGAAAAACAACCACTAGTACCATCTAGTAAATTTGCTACCACATTGGCTTTCTCCTAGACTAGAGCTTCCTTCAGTCTTCCATATCAGCACTAATTATTTGAATGGCTGAGATGGCAATCAGTAGAGAAGACTAGAGATGAAAGCTGAGATGGACAAAGGGAGAAGCAATAATTGATAACCATTTGAGTAGGCAGACCCAGAGGTTTAGGAGCTCAGATAAGGAGAACCTCGATACAGGAAGTGAGATTGGGTAGTCTTAAAACAGTATAAGCAGAGGAAAGATAATCTCAACAGCATTGAAAACCAGAACTTTTGATTTTTCTCTTCAGGAGGAGGCAATATCATCTGTTAGTAGTTAAGCAGGGAGGAGTTTGGATAGGGAACTGGGAGACTGCTAAAGATATGAAATAATAGGCCATGAGAGCAATAAGCAAGATATCTACTCAAGGTCAAGTGAAAAAAGCACTGATGAGCACCCAGGACCCAGTTCCAACTGGATCAGAATCTTTCTGGCTATCTCTCTTCACAGTTAAACAGTATTTTCTACTAAGGATGTCAGCAAGTCAGTTTCTTCCCACCCGCCATTTTCTCTTGTGTATTATGACCCGAACGTTGCTTCTTTCCCTCCTTAACCAATCTGCACTTCATGCTCAATTACTTGCAATGTTAGCAGCCAGCATCTCCAAAACCCCTCTCCCTTTTTTCTCTGCAGCTTCTGCTTTGCAGTTCTTAAACCCTCGGTCAGTCAAAAAAGAAGACTGATGGGCCAGCTCATGGCATGGTGGTTAAGACAATGGATTCCACATGTCCCACTGTGCAGTTTGAGTCCTAAACCTGACGCCTTGAAAAACCTGCAGGGTGCAAGTGCATGTGTGACCAAAATCCTGAAAGAAGGGAGAAACGGAGGAGAAGGGTGGCATGATCATTTCCCACTGGGGGGTGGTGGTGGTGGTGATGGATGTGATTTCTTTCCCAAATATATCTTTCTCCAGTGAACCCACAGGCCATCTGGCAAAAACTAAAAAGAATAAGAATATTGAGAGTGTTCAGTGTTTAAACCTTATGAAATTGCCATTTTTATAGGTCAAACATGGTTAGATATCAGAGGACTCAATGAGGGATGTCTGGATGAAATTACCAATTTCAGAATGCTAATAGTGTTTTACCCTTACTTGAGCGCTTGAAACTAGCTGAAAGTCCCAGGAGGCATCAAGGTCTGGTTAACAGCAGCTGCTCAGCTCAGTCTATCAGGAGGGGAGGCTTCGGTCTGGGGGAAAGAAAGTTCTCAAGCCTGACTAGGGATATAGTAGGAAGCCTACTCTGACATTTCATATTTTGCTTTATTTTTTCCTGGACAGGCACAGTGTAAAGTTGTCAAGGATACAAAATTCAAAACAAAATTCAAAACAAGAGTGATGGAAGAAGGGAATCTGGAAGGAGCATGTTGAAAAAAGAAAGAAAAAAAATCCATACAATGATGCGTTGATAAAATATGACATATATAGCAATTGTTTCAACCAAAATCAAAAGCAAACTATCAAAACAGATGTTTTCTCATTTTAGGCTCAGAGCTTCATCCTTTGCATCTTCTAGGAGTTCCTCAGTCTTCCTTTCGAAATATCTTACCATCCTCTCCTTGACATCCAAGGCTGCTCTGTGTAAACACTACACATCCTGAGATAACTAAAATCATCATAAATATAGAAGTTCTATCATTAGCAGAAATGAAGAGAATTTCTACCAGCTCTCTGGAAGTAAGATTAACTTGCAGATTGGTATCAATGAAAAAATGATTCTAAACTCAATTCATTAAATGCCTGTGGTGGCAACTAACAGATACTATCATTTTTGAGTAAAAACTAGATGATAGTATAATACATAGCAATATTCCTATAAAAGCTTGCATTATGCTAACCATAATGTCATAAATAAATTTTGCTAAGTACTTATAATACATTAGTTGAAATAATTATTTCAAACCATTTCTGAGATTGGTTTATTCCACCCTGAAAACTGAGGCTCGGGGAGATGGAATTACTCAAGGTCGACCAGCTAGTAATATCTGTGATTAAAACATTAACTCGTCAATTGACTCTAAAGCTAATGCTTATCCATGTTTCATTACACTGAGGCCCACTGGGCTTGACTGTATAGCAATTAAGGCTGCTAGAGAATTATACGGGACTTCTGAAACTAGAATTTTACTTTCAAGTTAAGGAAAAGAGTGTCCCAGTGGATATTTAAAACCAAGACATTTTCTCCCTTCCTGATATCATGGTGGTCAAAATTCAATGAAAGTATCTGCAGAAAATTAAAATAAGAAAACTCACAGGGACATTACTACCAATGTTCTAAAGAAGGAAACCTCAGCGAGGATCAGGAGAAGAGAAACCCAACAGTGAGCTGTCAGGACATTAATAAAAGACATAGCCTGTCTAATTTTCATGCAAGCAAACACAAGCACAAATGCGTTCAAAGGTCAAGTTGCAGTGAGTGAGGTAATGCTGTTTGGGGAATGAAATCAATATTACTTTGGTTTAATTCTGAGATGTTGTTTGTTTGTTTTCATTTTCCTTTTTGTATGCTCTCTCTCAATTTTGAATTTCTTGCTTTTTCAAATCAAAATTGTTCCCACTACCCCCATTTTGCCTAGTCTGTGTGAAAAATATTTTATAATCCTCTCTTCAGCCTGCAGATTTTCTTAAGACCCTTCTGCTCAGGGAGACAGTATTTTCTTACAACACTGGAAATTTTAAGAGTGTGGAAAATGACGTCAGATTTGACTTGGCAGATCCAAGGGGGCAGAGAAGGTAAGGGAGGGAAAGGGAAGGAAAGGAAGGGTCTCCTGACAAAACAATCTTGATTTCTAACCAGAACCACTGCACAAGTTAAGCATTTTCATAGATAGTCTTAACAGTTTTACAAGTTTTTTTTTTTTTCTCTCTCTTTCAAAATGTGCTTTCAACAGTCATGTTGTTTTCAAATGAACTGAAAGAAGTACTGTGTTTAGAGGGGACAAGGATGGGCTATTGCATATGACTGGAAAGATACAAAAGCTGCTTTATTTAAATGTATGTTTGCCCTGGCAGGAATTCGGAGACCTACCTGTACATAATCCACGCTTCGTCCCAGTGCTCTGAAGGCTGTGTACATGACTTCTCTTTTTCCACCCCATTTTTGCATGATGCATATACTTTTGTTGGACAAGACCAATTGGGTTACGTGTTGTGAGCTTTCTTTATGTGACTCATCCGTCTCACCGGGACCCTTTTCGTGGAAGTTATTCTTCCAGATGTAAGTGGCTGATCTGTCCCTGCCCATGATTTCACTGAAGATATTCATCATGTAAAGATCATCTTCTGAATTCCCATCTATGACCATGACGACTTTAATCCCAGGGTAGGTGAGCCTTTTCACAGACTGCAAACATTTCCTTAAGTAGTCTGGATCTTCTTGATATGCAGCGATGCAAAGAGCAACTGTTTTGTTCAACTTAATAGGGGTTTCAAGGGATTTTTTCATTTTTCGGTGCTCCAAAAAGGCAAACAGGCTTTGAATGATGAGGTGTGATGCTAAAAAGGCACCATACAGTCCAAAAGAGAAATAGTAATTATCCGTTTGGATAAACTGGTAGCCAACAATATAAGCAGCTGTGATTCCAAGAAGGAGAGAGACTCCAAAGAGTGTGGTTCCAATTATTCTCAGGATACATAGAAACCTCTCACAATGCATCTGTAATAGAACCAAATTAGACTGTCAGTTAACCACTCCTGTTTCATGCTTGTTGAATACATGGTGTTGTGGGGAGAGCACTAAGAGTGGAAGCATTCAGGAGTTCTAATATTGACTTTCTGCACCTCAGCTTGCTCATCTGAAAAGGAGGGATAAGGATGTCCTTCTGGCACTCCTCAGAGGGCTTTTTAAGAATCAAATGAGATAATGGTGCAGGGTGTTACTGAAAACCATAATGTATTGAACAAACAGCTGGCACACTGCTTTTGGGGTCTCAGATCACTTGTCTGTCTAAGGCTGCCCTCCAAGTACGTGGTCACAGCTAGGCATGGAAATAATTTTGTAACTCCTCCCATACCAATACTGACCAGTGAAAAATCCAGAGAAGATTTTGCTAAATTTCTCATGTGTAATTTCATCTCATCTCCAGCAAGAATCCCTTAATCTACATGTAGTCCGCTGACTGGGGCTCAGGATACCTGCTTTCTAGTTCTAGCTCATCAACTACCTGGAGGAGTTACATTCTCTCTCTTGAGCTCAGTTTTCATTATTAATCTGTTAGGTAATAGAGTTTAGACTTAATTATTTCCAAAGGTCCTGTAGTCATTAAAAATTGTCCATCCTTAAGTATCTTGCATGAGTTATCTATCAAAGCACCTGCAATTCTAAATTGTACTCCTTGGTTTAGACATCTGTCTCCAGCCATCACCAGCTCTAGAAAGTTAGATGCTAGGTATCGGGAACTTTGCTGGAACAGGGTAAGCACAACATGTTTGTAGAAATAATAAATAATTTAAAGAAATAACATGCTAATTCCAACAGGTGAGTTTCCATCGAACAGGTGAGTTTCCATCCTATTAAAAGCTGTAGCACATTAGAACTGAAACATGTTTTGCTTATCAACAATAGCCACTTTTGTATTTATCCTTAAGTTTTGTGTGTCTACTGGATAAGATTTTATGCAACTCAAGAAGAGGAGGATTTTAATCTTTTTTGTAATATTCAAAGCATTCCTAATGCTGAGAATTGACAGTGTACTTGGTAAACCATATTTTATATTTTTCCTAAAGTGTTATTTTCCTTGTCATTCTAACAATGAATTATCACAAGATAAATAATTGATATAAGTGTAGTACCACCATCTTAAGTCAATCATATCAGCTTTGGGGTTTCTATCATATCAACATATAATCAGTACTTAATCTCTTTTCTTTAATTCAACTAATTTTTGAAAGCTAAATACATTTATTTAATTGTAAACTATTAGGCAGGCCACCCCTGTAGCATACCACTAAGCCTTTTGCAGAGAGAATTGGATCCCACATAGCTGATCATGGGTCAAATCCAAGCCCTGGCAATTTGAAAAACACATTTGGAGTGTGTAAATGTATGACTCAAATCCTTATAGGCTAAAGAAAAGAAGGGAAATGGATTGCAGAATGACTACACTCTATTTGAGGATGCTTTCTCTTTCTCGCTCTGAGCACACTTGACCTCCGGAAATTTAAAAAGTAAAAAAATTAAATAAATAACTAAATAAGTAGAAAATTAGGTTAAATAATGATTCCTGGGAAGGGACCAGCAGTTGGCGTAATGGCTATGTTGCTGGACTCCCATGTAGTCGACTGTGGGTCGAGTTCTGGACCCGGTGGTTTAAACTCATGCCGGACGCATGTGCGTGTGTGCCCAATATCCTGAGAGGAGAATGGAGGAGAAGGGATTGTGGCGTGGCCACCCCCACCCCGGAGGGTGATTTCTCACTTTCTGTCTCTCTCTTTTTGTTGAGTGCACATACCTTATAGCAAAAACCTCTCAAAAAACAACAACAACAACAAAAAAAAACAATTAAAACATAATAATGATTCCTGGAGAAACCTCTTGCTTGATACACTATTTCTATTTCCCTAGTCTACATCAAAACTTATAATTGATTGTCCACAGAAAGCTAGTATCTTGGATGTTAACAGCTGCAAGGCCATCAATGCTGCTTGGCTCTAGGAGGCTCTGTTCACACGTTCACATTCTGCGTTATGTAATTGCACATCAAGATGGTCCTGAGTAGATATGCACTACATTTTCTGGAAAATTTAGTGTATCATGGCTGCTCAGCAACTTTATGACTTCTTCCTGAGCACAAACTATTGGATTGTCATGACGTATTTTTCTATGCAAAAATGGTACGTAAGATGTGGTACCTCCCTGGCATTCTTTCCCTTAGAAATCTGAAATGTACCACATTCCTACAAAGTCTTTTTTAAGAGAGAAGTTATGCCTAATTCCATCTCTCCTTTCCTTCTGTAGGCTTGATATATATCATCATCAGAGCTCTAGAAAATTACAGAGCCCCAAGATAGAGGGAGCTGGGTCCTTGAACCACTGTATGGAAGGGAGTCACCCTCCAATCAAGGACACTGATTAAAGTGTAGGACGCCCACATGGTCAACCTTAGTTGGAGACCCAAACCCAGTGGCTTGAAACTCACACTGGGCTGGGTATACATGCATGAGTGCCCCAAATTCCAAGATGAGAATGGAGGAAAAGGGATTACACTATTGCTATCCCCCAGAGTGTGATTTCTCACATTCTATCTCTCGATCTCTAAGGTGAGCACATGCACCCTATAGTAAAAATCTATTTAAAAAAAAAAAGAGGAATATCTACTTGCCTTAAACTTTTACATTAGCAATAAATAATCTCCTGCAGGTTTTTTCTCCTTTTTTTTTTTTTTTAAGAGAGATTTTGGCTATAGGGAGCATGTGCTCACTAGAGCGACAGAGGAACAGAAAGAGAGAAATCACCCCCCAAAAGGGATGGCCACACCACAATCCTTTCTCCTCCATTCTCTTAAGATTTTGGGCATACATGCACCTACTCCTAGTGTGTTTTAAGCCTCCTTGTCTGGGACTCAAACTGCGGCTGACTATGTGGGAGTCCAATGACGTAACCACTTTGCCATCTGCTGGTCCCAATATTCTGACTTTTGTTTACCCATTATACACTTGGGGATTTAGTTCACCCTGCCAATTTAGCCTAGGTAATACAAAGCAGCCTGCAGATCAGGATTTTAACTTGCAGACATTATTTTCTTTTGTTAAATGGAGATGATAAGACTTGTCAAAGACCCTCAAAGAGCTATGGTGAGGCGTAACAAAATAGTGTTTGTGAAATTGTTTTTAAGAACCAGAAATGCAATATAGTTTAAAGTATCACATAATTAGGAAATTAAAAATGAAAACATAAAGCTAATTTGTGGGATCAGCCCAATGCTGTGCAGAGACAGCAGGATGACACACTGCCAATAGCAGTTTGAATCCTGGCTTTGGCTGTTCAAGAAACATGCTGGGTACATGTGTGCCCCAAATCCTGTCAGATGAAGTAATGGAGGAGACAGGACTGCACAGTAACCACGCCTAGCTGGGAAGTTTCTCTTTCTCTGTCTTTCTCTCCCCCTCCTCTCTCTCTAATGAGCACACACCCTCTGGCAATGAAAACAAAAATAGAAACAAATGCGTGGTCCACTTCTAGCAGCTATATATAAGATACCATAATGTGTAATATGGGAGTCTAGTAAAAGTACAACACATGAACAGAAAGTCCACACTGCTGGAGAAAAATGAAATGCTGACTTTTCAGTAAAAGGCAAACCAGTACAGCATCCCTTGTTAATTAACATAGCTGACGGGATGTTGAAAACTCCCAAAGGATGCATTAACCAATGCCTAAAGGTGCTGGAAGCAGCAGACTTGGAGCTTGTCATTTCCAAGACGTGAGTCATTCTCACAAGAGTGAAAAATTTCAAGGAGACTAAAACACTTTGCCAGGGAGAAGCTTAAGTGTGTGTTTAGCTTATGTTTAAAATCACCACGGCCAGTAAAAAAACTGCCTGCCATTCTTTTCCATTATTCACATTTTCCTTGCTTTTATCAGTACACGTGGACAGAGAGAGTGTTCACTTAGCATCTGCTGAGCACAGCTCAGTGGGAACACCCTCTTACATCATAGGAGTCTACCGAATGTCCTTTTGAAGCCTGGGAAAAGTTACTAGTAAACTACAGCGACATGAGTAGAATTGAACCTTTATGTGTCTGGGAGATAGCTCAGTCTTGCCCAGTGTGACTCATATAGACTCTCAGGCCAAAGGGCAAAAGGCATGTTTTAGAGCCAGCTTTTACTGAGGGATCTTACAGAGTGACACAGGATGTGTTTCTTTATCATTTCCCCTGGGTGATTTCTTAGGTATGGACACCATATGTGTTAGAGCTTCAGAAACAATCCCTAATTCAATACTCTGCTTCATAGGTAGACTCCTTGTCAGAACTGCAGCTTTATTGTTACATTGGAAAATAGGGTTTTCAGTTTAAAAATCTTAAGAGCTTAGTGCTTGCTGGACACAAAGATGATTCAGAAATCTATGTCCCATAAGTACTTGTAGTATAAAACTTGGATTTTTTTTTTCCCTTCCACTATTTGACTTCAGCCAGTTAATGACTTTAGAAATGGGCATTGGGCTTGATTCCAATTCTTTACTAATGTCTATTCTTGACAGAATTCTCGGCCAAACCGAGTGTTAAGGAATAGTTGATACACTATAAGGTAAGCCCCACAAATTCAACAAATACATACACAAGGAGTCTTCAAAGGGGTCATGGAAAACGTGTATCATGACAAAAACTATGTGTGGATTTCAAAGTTGTTTGGCACCAAAATTAACTTGTAATTTATTTCCACTTTTTCCACAACCTTTTTGAGTCCTCTTATATGAATATCTTTTAAAGTATCTCAGATTTGGCAAGAATTTCATGGAGCTACCATGCAGTTTGTGCTCAGTTAGGAGAAGTAACAAGATTGGAATGCCCCAAAGACATAAAATGCCTGTTGTTAGTACTGAATAAATACTTGTTGAATGAATGAATGTAACCTCATACGCTTTCATGCTGTTGTTGATATCATGGCTGCTCACATTTATTTATCCGTTATTAGACTTCACACAGTGGAGGAAT